CCTAAACTAAACATATCTTGTTCTTGAATACAAGCCTAAACTGAACATATCTTGTTATTGAATACAAGCCTAAACTGAACATATCTTGTTATTGAATACAAGCCTAAACTAAACATATCTTGTTCTTGAATACAAGCCTAAACTGAACATATCTTGTTATTGAATACAAGCCTAAACTAAACATATCTTGTTATTGAATACAAGCCTAAACTAAACATATCTTGTTATTGAATACAAGCCTAAACTAAACATATCTTGTTATTGAATACAAGCCTAAACTGAACATATCTTGTTATTGAATACAAGCCTAAACTAAACATATCTTGTTATTGAATACAAGCCTAAACTAAACATATCTTGTTATTGAATACAAGCCTAAACTAAACATATCTTGTTATTGAATACAAGCCTAAACTGAACATATCTTGTTATTGAATAATGTATTCAAATATGATCAGGAATTGGCTTTCAATAAGCCTTCAAGTAATAACATAAAACAAGACATAGGACTAGCAAATGAGGCACACACATTATAAGTAGCAAAATGCAGATTAAGATTTCATTAGCATATTTTTTCTTCACAAGGCAAGAATTTATTTTTTTAAATAGTCCTTAAATATTTATGTACATTTTTTTATAAATCAGATTGTTTTATAAATCAGATTGTTAACCCCCCCCCCCTCCCTTCTCCTCAGTTTTACTGCAATGAAAATACTGATGTAAAATAAACATCCTTGGTGAACTTCTGGGAAAAGTAATAAAATATCATCTAAGCTTTTCTAATTTTTATGTATACCATTTTCCCTATTTAATATATATATTAAGAGAGAGAAAGAGAATATGATAATACCAGTATGTGTTCGAAGTTTGTTGACAACCCCCTCCCCCACCTCCGTCTGAGAAAATTGACGTGGGCGTCCATGAAAGTAAAGTTATAAATGGCAATGAACTATTTCCATGTAGATACATCGCCATTTAAACAAAGTAGTGGGGAAAGCAGTTTGCGTCATTGTTTCAAATAGTTTATTATTTTTTTATGTTTTTCTCTCAATAAAAATTACTATCGATTTTTTCAATGTGTAAATCAATTTTTTCAGAGTGATTATGCTTTTATCAGTTTAGATTTATTTGTCTGAATAAAATTAACACAAATGTTATTAATATCTCCACCTCATAACAATGACTGGTTTTCTAGCAAGGATTGATTAAGAGAGATAACTTGGAATAAACTAGCCCTAGGCAATATTAACTGGTTAAATCCCCTGCACCATGCTATTTTTTTAATATTAGTTTTTTCCTCTACACTTTTATGTTATTAACACCCTTAGCTGTTTTTATTTTTATCCTGGTAGTGTCCTGAAGATTCTCATACTTAAAAGTTTTTCCGAAGAGTTCAAGGCGATGACAAGTATTACATAAAGTAAGGGAAATTCCGTTTCAATATTTTAGTTAATTACTGTTTGTTTTTTTGTTTTTTTATATTTGAAAATCCAACTTTTTAATGTTACTTCCGCCCCTTCATCCACACTTTTAATTTTTTTGTGCAGGGGTGGGGATGGAAGGGGGGGGGGGGGGCCTAACTGGTTTCAGTTATACACAGTTAATTTTGCCATCCATACTTTTGGCACAGCGAAATACGTCATGTTGCCTTGCTATTGATTCAAGCAAAATAATCCCCCTCAGTCCGATATCTAAGACATGTTTGTGCTACTATAGCGCCCCCACCACTTCTTTTATTTTCCATCTCCCCGCCCGATGGCCTCTCAAAACTGATTGAAGGTTGAATCTGGTCTAATTTAGTTCAGAGGCGTAACGAGGACATATGGCGCCCAGGGCAAGACTAACATTTCACATATGGCGCCCAGGGCAAGACTAACATTTCACATATGGCGCCCAGGGCAAGACTAACATTTCACATATGGCACCCAGGGCAAGTCTAACATTTCACATATGGCGCCCAGGGCAAGACTAACATTTCAAATATGGTGCCCAGGGCAAGACTAACATTTCACATATGGCGCCCAGGGCAAGACTAACATTTCACATATGGCACCCAGGGCAAGACTAACATTTCACATATGGCGCCCAGGGCAAGACTAACATTTCACATATGGCGCCCAGGGCAAGAATAACATTTCACATATGGCGCCCAGGGCAAGACTAACATTTCACATATGGCGCCCAGGGCAAGACTAACATTTCACATAGGACGTCCAGGGCATGGCTCACATTTCACACGTGGCGCCCGGGGCAAGACTAACATTTCACAAATGGCACCCAGGGCAAGACTAACATTTCACAAATGGCGCCCAGGGCATGGCTCACATTTCACCCCTATCAAGTGTGAGACACATATTTCTTACAAATCTAATCAACAGCTACCATACAACACACTACAGACTTTGCCGTGCACACTATACACTTTGCCGTGCACACTATAGACTTTTCCGTGCACACTACAGACTTTGCTGTGCACACTATAGACTTTGCCGTGCACACTATAGACTTTGCCGTGCACACTATAGACTTTGACATGCACACTATAGACTTTTCCGTGCACACTACAGACTTTGCCGTGCACACTATAGACTTTGCCGTGCACACTATAGACTTTGCCGTGCACACTATAGACTTTGCCGTGCACACTATAGACTTTGCCGTGCACACTATAGACTTTGCCGTGCACACTATAGACTCTGCCGTGCACACTATAGACTTTGCCGTGCACACTATAGTCTTTGCCGTGCACACTATAGACTTTGCCGTGCACACTATAGTCTTTGCCGTGCACACTATAGACTTTGCCGTGCACACTATAGACTTTTCCGTGCACACTATAGACTTTGCCGTGCACACTATAGACTTTTCCGTGCACACTATAGACTTTTCCGTACACACTATAGACTTTGCTGTGCACACTATAGACTTTGCCATGCACACTATAGACTTTGCCATGCACACTATAGATTTTGCCATGCACACTATAGACTTTGCCGTGCACACTATAGACTTTGCCGTGCACATTATAGACTTTGCCATGCACACTTTAGACTTTGCCGTGCACACTATAGACTTTGCCATGCACGTAGAGCAGAACGGTGTACATCATTTTAGCTCATTCAACACAGGTCAACTTCAACACAGGTCAACTAACGCACAGGTCAACTTCAACACAGGTCAACTAACGCACAGGCCTAAACAAGCGCAGTTTTACATTTTAAAAATAAAATTATTTTTCTACCTCGACGATTTTTGCGCCACCCCCCCCCCTTTTTCAAATGACGCCTACAGCACGTGCCATGTCTTGTAACACCCTCTGTACGCCTCTGTCTCATACCTCCCTTACCTCGCCCCCCATCCCCAAAAGTAGTAAATAATCACATTGGTGATAAAAATTTCGTAAGACAACTTTTGCCTAAACGTTTTATTAATTACCTATATTAATTTGTTTAATAACCTACATTAATTTGTTTAATTACATACAGTAATTTGTTTAATTACATACAGTAATTGTTTAATTACCTATATTAATTTGTTTAATTACCTACAGTAATTTATTTAATTACCTATATTAATTTGTTTAATTACCTACAGTAATTACTTTAATTACCTATATTAATTTGTTTTACTTAAAAAAGATAACGTATCATTACAAATAACTGCCTGAAGTTCCATTGATGTGTAAATTGACGTGTAGACATAGCTCCAGGTCTTATATATATTCAACACACTATTTGAAGCTGTCCGGCTTAATTCATTAGATGAGTTACTCAACACACTACCTTTTCATGCATTCGCTGTCAATTTTGCTCATACAAGTCAGTGTTTAATGAATAGGACTTTTATATATATAAACTATTTTGTGTGTCTGCTCACAACAACCAGTGGCGTAGCAAGAGTGGGCGCTTCGTCTCGGGGGGCGGGGGGTGGGGGGGCGGGGCGCAATTTTTTCTCTATTAGGTGGGACGGCATTTTTTACCAACTGCATACTTTTTTGTTCGTGGGAGTTGACAAATCTTGACCCTCCCCGAGCGGCACTAACCACTACTACGCCACTAACATCAACAAAGATGTTTTTTGGGCAAATGACTGTGCTTTAAAAGAGCGTAGGCTACGGTTTTTCTGTATGTTCGTACCCAACAGCATGAGTTGTGGAATGGTTTGTTTGGCTAACACGGGGGCTGCCTGAATCCCCCCCCCCCCCCCCGCACACACACACGACACACCTAAGCCATTCTGAAGCGTTTCAGGGAGAGATGATAATTGCCTCTATTATAACCTGTCGCGTTGCCTTACGAGGGTCATGAATAGAGTTTATGCCTTTCGTCTACGCCTCGTTTCAAATGGTGCAGTGACGTACAAAGGAATCAAGACTCCAAGAGAAAGCTTTGCAAATTTGAGGACATGGTACATCACCCCTTCACAAAGTCAGTTTGGCGTCACATTCCTCGTCATTTTCTCCTTTTAAAAAGATAATAAAAATAATCATAATAAACTTAAGCATGATAAAGAGCCGAAAGTTTTATGGTCTGTGTTTTGCTAACCATACAAAAATGCTATGGTGAGGATTTAAAAATAAAAAATTCCGAGTGTTGTTTTCAAATATTTCAATATTGTATTATTGTTTACCAATTATTTTTTTTTTTTAATCGGTACATTTGTTCCAATAGCTCCGAGTCGAGAGCGAGGGCCTGAGAATGCCAGTTTTTCATAACGATTAAATGACGTCGTGTCCTTAAGGCAGAAATACGAAGATAATATATTATTTAAACTTCAGGTTTTTTTTCCCCTCAAGACCGAATAAGAACTACCCCTCCCCCCTCCCCCCCCCCTTTCCCTCTTCAGAACACAGCCTTCTATTACTTTAAGGGGTACCTTTCTAATCCACAACGAGTGAGGGGGGTGTGGGAAAGACGGAACAGCAGTTCGCGCATTCCCTGACCAATAAAAACGCTGTTAACAAACCAAACGAGAGATTGGATTGGCTGATGGACCTGGCTGGTTTGCAAGGCCCGGCAGCTCGCGTTCAGGCGGAAGGCAACTCGCTACTGCGAGATTTTGGAATACATTCTCGGAGATTTTCCTTACTTCGGAGCTTTGGCGTGATATTGTTATCATTAACCTCAACGTATCGTTAATTGGTGCGTCTGTGTTTTCTTTTATTCAGCCCTTTATTGGATTAGGGCAGCCACTCGCCACAAGAATGATACCGCCGAGGTGAAACGAGGGAACATCGAGGCCAGAAATTGGACCTTTTCTATCGTGAGCCGTCGTTCTTCTTTGTTTTCGAAACTGCCATTCGCTGTTGGGTTCTCTCTCGACAACATGGCGGCTTATCGGCCTCGGAGAATGAGCTCTGCGAACCGCTTCTTCCTGCGCGCCGTATTCCTTCTGTTTACGTTGTCGGAGATCGTCCACTACGTCCACGCAAACCAATACCCCAAAGAGTCAGAATACACGGCGCAGCATGGAAAGTGTGAAAAGATCACCATACCGCTGTGCAAGGACATTCAGTACAACGAGACCATCATGCCCAACCTACTCAACCACATGAAGCAGGACGATGCGGGACTGGAGGTGCATCAGTTTTTTCCTCTCGTCAAAGTCCAGTGCAGCAGGCAGCTCAAGTTTTTCCTGTGCACGATGTACGTGCCGGTGTGTACGGTCCTGGAGGAGGCCATACCCCCGTGCAGGTCCCTGTGTAACGAGGCGAGGACTGGCTGCGAGAGCCTGATGAACAAGTTCGGGTTCGAGTGGCCGGAGACCCTCAAGTGCGACCAGTTTCCTCCGACGGGGCTGTGCGTGGGTGAGAACACCACAGATCAGGCTGAACCCACTAAAAGACCCCCTGGTTCGTCTGGCGGACCCACTGGTTCTGGAGTAATTCAGCCCGGAGGTACTAATCCTGGAGGTAGGTCTGAGACTCACACTGTCACACTCACCGAGCTCATACACATCAATGAATCATTCATAATTCATGTTGATGATATGACAGCCACTGTTCATATAGCATTTGCATTCATGTTATTGTTTCATTGGCAATTCACATCTTTTTTATAGATATGTTGTTTGTTGTGTTAAATGAACCTTTCAAACTTTCAAAGGCATGTTCAGAAAAGCTAAGCAGAGCCAGAAAGTAACTTTTTGCTAATAAATTATTCACTGGCACCCCCATTGGTGTCTAACGTTAATAGAACAGCAGTTAATATTAATATATTATAGAAGTATGTCATTGGAGGTGTTTTCACATCAACCAATATTTTATATTTAGATGTGGCATTGTGGGAAGGATATAGCTAACAAGCTTGGCTTCTTTTGGTATGGGCTAGAGGCTATTAATATATAGATATATAGCCTAATTTAAAACAAAAGGCTCCTGCAGGGTTGAATGGATCTAGACCAAACCTAGTTCACCATACTGCACTTGTTTATCCATATGATATTGAGATACTGAAAGGGTACTGCTGTCACATCCACTGCTTCATTCATATTAGCTGTTTAAATATCAGTATGTCAGTAGGCTTAGAGGAATGGAGGAGGATATTTTTCATGTAATTTGTGGCGCCCCAACGGTCCAATGACTAAGGAACATGGTGTTGATGATAATGAGACACAGACAACAATTAATATAGTTTTTACAGGAATTCGAGGACTTAAAAAACAAGTATGAGTATGAGCATATGAAAAAAAACTAATATTGTGCCCCTGCCCATAACAGGATGTTTTAAGTTCCATCACACCCCCCCATCCCCTGTGTTTCATTTTTAAAAAAAATATTTTTGTTGTGAGCATGCCTTTCGTTCCATTATATCAAAATGTCTCTCAATGTAATGTGCACGTGTGATTAGTGTGAAATAAGTTATAGTTAGACCAACATGCACCCAACCCTAGGGTGCAGTATTTGGGGCTGTAAATGGTTTTCTGTTGAGTTGCATACTGAAAAAAGATTGATAGAAATAAACTCTAGCAGTGACTATCATCCGATCAAGATTAGATTGCTGTAACATTTGTTTGTGGGGTTTACCTCAAAACCAAAATCAAAGACTCCAGAAGGTACAAAATACTGCAGCATGTGTTGTAAATTGTATCGGGTATAAAGAAATCTGACCACATCACCCAAGTTCTTAAGATCTCCATTGGCTTCCTGTGAGTCAGCACAATGACTACAAAATTCTGCCCCTGCTCTACAGCTGTATAGAAGGCTCTGCAACTTTTTATCTTCAAAAGCTGATTTCTAAAACTGTATCCACACAGAACCTATGCTTTTCAACACAGTCCTTATCGAGAGTTCCCAGCGTGGATGGACACAGAAAGAAGTCATACGTGATGCTGAAAGTGTTTGTCTATGTTATACCTCTCTCTGTACTGTCATTGACAACAGTGAGTCATCTAGCAACTTCATTTGCTTGCACATAAGACTTGGATTTTCCCCAGGTACCAATGTCTTCATGCAGGGCAAATAAACATATCTTATGTTCTTTGCAGATCAATACATGTACATAGTGTTGCTTAATCAACTGCAACATTAGAAGCAGTTCTTATGAAGTGTAATGCCATTTCTTGCACTGTTTCAATGCAAACTCTGTCAGAGCAAAAGGCTAACGGCACAAATTCCTGTCCCTAGTACCGAAAAAAAATATAAATGACTTAAGATCGTCATCTCGTGGTGGAGTATCAGACTCATTTTGCAGGACTTTTGATACAATCTCAATTCTTTGACTTAAAGCAACAGATTTCAATTGAGTCCAACATCTTCACTTCTCATAATTTGTCTTGTCTTTATTTTGCCACTAGTCTAAAACAGTACTACATGATAGTAGTGCTAATCATAGGCATAAGTTATATACAGGCTGAAGCCTAGGGGTAGACAACTCACCGGTCGCCCAAGGCTGAGATGGATCGACAATGTGGAGATGGATATACACCAGTTGGGGGTTCGCGCATGGAGGCGGAAAGCCATGGATCACTCCTAATGGAAGGATGTGATGGAGCATGCCAGGGCCCTACATGGGCTGTAGCGCCACTGATGATGCTAATGTTAGAGGGATGCGAGGCAGTACTAAATGAATGGCATCCCTACATGGGCTGTAGCGCCACTGATGATGCTAATGTTAGAGGGATGTGAGGCAGTACTAAATGAATGGCATTTGAGATGAAATTTTGCTCAGGTTAAAGTAAAAGGGAAAAAGTTTGTTTAAATTTCATTTTGTCCATTTTTAACTAAGTGTTTTAAAGCACCCGACCCAGCAGCATACTGTACCTTGGCCATCCTAGAGTTTTCATATCTTGTGATAAAACAGTCATAGTGCAGCTAATTTCAAATGTGAGCAGCTGCCCTCCCCTGCGTTAAGCTTCACAGAATAAGTACAAGCTAGTTGAATGGCAGGCGTGTGCAATCCTTTCAGTAGGAGCTACTCTTCAACACACACAGACAATGAGCCATGAAAAATACCTTAGTGTCATTACATGTATGACCACGTAGGATAACAAAATTAACTTTTGGAGAGAAAAGAGCGTATGGTCTTGTTCATGTCATTTGTGATTGCCATGGTCAAGCAAAGTTGGCATGGATTTGATCAGGATACCATGAATTGATAAGACAAAAATTATTCATATTGAAAGACTCTTTTTGTTTTTTAATTATATAATTAAAGGGGTCTGCTTTAATATGCCCTGATCAACTTACTGGAATAAAACATGATTTTGGAACCAGACCAAATTTTAAAAAAGTAGGTTGATCCACTGTTTTACAGAAATTATGACCAACAGTTCTCAACCTGTGTGTTTCACCACCTCTGGTTTGGGGGTCACATGACCCTTGCACTGGGGTCGTATGAGACCATCAGAAAATACATATTTATGAAGTAACAACTAAAATTCGCTTTCAGATTCAACCTATTCCTTTCATACTGATCTATATTCTTATTAAAATACAAAGGAATATGTAGCAATGCTAGATTGAATGCAATGTGTATCGATTTTATGTTTAAATTTGTAGCCATGCTTGGTTTATTTAAAAAAAATAGATTCTGAAGATATTAATCATTGTTGAAAAGAAGAAATCAATGTACATTTTAAAAAAAATATTTTTTTAAAAATGTCCAATTTCTTATAAAATTGAATAAGGCATTAACGATGTGATATTATTTTTTAAATATTTTTTTTGTTGACATCCAAATTTGTGTTTCTGTAAATGGTTTTCTATTTACATAGTATTTAGTTTCATGCAAAGCCCATTAAATGCTCTAAGTATTAGTTTCATACAAACCTGATTTCAAATACAATCGAAGCGGCATATTTTAAAAAATTTTTTATCTGTCTTCATACTTTAATAATTTTTTTCAGAACTGAAAAAGCTGGAAAAATATTGATGTAATTTTCGATAATTGCTACAAATCCCAATCTGTTCAGGGACAAAATTCTATTTTCTTGCAATGCAAAGACAACAAAAATATTTCCACCTCATTCTGTAAGTTGTATTGTTGTTTTCATCCTAATTTTCTTCTTTCGTCCTTCAGGCCAAACCTCTCCACCAAAAGACCAACAACCCACAACTGATCTAGGTTTCCATTGCCCTTCAGTGCTGACAGTACCAAATGGCTTTGACTACCACCTCAAGGTGGGTGATGAGCTTGAAAAGAACTGTGGCGCCCCTTGCTATGACATGTTTTTTGATACTGATGAACGTGAGTTCGCCCGATGGTGGATCGGCATCTGGTCCTGCATCTGTCTGGCGTCCACTCTCTTCACTGTCCTCACCTTCCTCATCGACATGCAGAGGTTCCGCTACCCGGAGCGACCTATCATATTTCTCTCAGGATGTTACTTCATGGTGGCAACCGCTTATGTTGTTGGATTTGCCCTCAGGGAGAAGATATCATGCAATGAACCATTTGAGCCTCCAAATATCAATACTGACAAAAAAGATATGCTACCTGTTGTAACCCAGGGCACCAAGAAGGAGGGCTGCACAATCCTGTTCATGATGCTCTACTTTTTCAGCATGGCCAGTTCAATCTGGTGGGTCATCCTCACCCTCACCTGGTTTCTTGCAGCTGGGATGAAATGGGGTCACGAGGCCATCGAAGCCAACTCACAATACTTTCACCTGGCAGCATGGGCTGTTCCTGCCATCAAGACCATTGCAATATTGGCCATGGGCCAGGTGGACGGAGATGTCCTCAGCGGCGTCTGCTACACTGGAATATTTGATGTTGATGCTCTCCGCGGATTTGTGCTGGCACCGCTGTTTGTGTATCTCATCATCGGCACTTCATTTCTTCTGGCTGGGTTCGTATCCCTGTTTCGCATCCGTACGATAATGAAGAGTGATGGCACCAAGACGGACAAATTAGAAAAACTCATGGTTCGTATTGGTATCTTCTCAGTCCTTTACACTGTCCCAGCTACGATAGTCATTGCCTGCTATTTTTATGAACAAGCATTCAGGGATAAGTGGATGGTCACATGGCATAGTCAAACATGCAATGAGTTTCGTTCAAACTGCCCCAGTGGCGTCACTTCCAAGCCATGGCCAGATTTCAATGTTTTTATGATCAAATACCTTATGACTGTGATTGTTGGCATCACCTCCGGAGTATGGATCTGGACAGGTAAAACCTTTCATTCATGGAGGACTTTCTCCAGCCGAATCTTTGTGCGCAGAAATAATGAATCTGTGGTGTAGAGTAAACTAATTCTTTAAAAATGGATTTCTAACAGTTGGAAGAAAAAAAAATTAGTCAAATGTCCTGAAAAAAAATATCGGGGCTTAAAGTCTTGTAGCATTGTTACAAGTTTGTAAATACTGGATCAACCATGCGGATAACTAGCTGTAAATCTTTTTACTTTTCGAGCCATGTGGATATCCATGAATTGTTTGGGAATAGGATATGATTTGGCACTGATATAAAAAAAAAATCTACTGATGACCTGTTCCTGTTGGTGGATTACTTTCACATTTAAATGTGTACATAAGTATTTGTACTTGCAAACTGGATTTATTCTGAATTTTTCCAGAGTGTGGAGTATCTCTGGTTTCATAGCTTCACCACATGCGAAGTCAGTGAATTCAATTATTGTGTAGCTTTAACTGAAAGAGTGAGGGTCTTGGGAAATATGTGGCTTTCTTATATTCATGAGTTTCTCATGCTGGCATCATCTATTTTCATGTCAAGCACAACAAACTAAAGTCACAACAAACTAAAGTTTTAGCTGATGTGCGAAGGGAGTGAATACGTTTATTCAAAGACGAGGGCTCCTTGCATTTCACCGTCAACTCATCTCATCGCTGATACGATAGCTCTTGTTACCTTGCAATAATCCGTAAATGAATTGTATGATAACTTACAGTAGTGCACATAATTTTATCCAATAATGTCTGAATGAATGTACGTGACTGCCAGTGTTGATCCTGGGCATCCATAGTGTAAGTTTGCACGAAAAGGTTGAATTTTTTTTTAAAAATATAAATGTGCAAAAGCGTTTGTTGGTTTTTTTTTTACCTGAATGTGTGAGTATAATAATTTTTTTAAACATATTTGTGATGTCATTTAAGATAAACACTTACATTTCTTTATAAATTTCTTTTTTTTTTTTTATATGACATAGGTGGTTTACATAGGTGATAATTTGCATAGGTGATAATTTATATAGGTTGTGCTAAAACATTATTTTTCTTTTGGTCATCTTAAAAGTCTATTCTTGAGCGTTGTGTGGGGACAGCCGCGTGGATTCAACACGTTGTTGTGACTTGTCAGTATTTACAATTATTCAAATAGTTTGTGAGTTATTGGATTGACCTGGTATCCAGTATATGCAGACCAACAGATGATTAATTATGCTGTAGCAAACAATGAAAGGATTCAGAGGTCAGTAAGTTATCAATTCGGGTGTTTCGTGTTGGCCATATATGCCCCATATATATATTATTTTTTTTAATACATGCATTTTTTCTGGAAGCCAGTTTATTTATTATTAAAAGATTTTAACCTTTTTTTTCCCCCCAAATTAAAATATTTTTTAATTTTAAAAAAACTGACCAATAAATATTATATAGTTTCCGCTGTCATTACTCGCCTGGATGTATGTTTGCAGTGTGAAAGTTTATTCAAATTTGATAGCGTGTTAATTTTCTGTATTGAAAAACTAAACTTTATCATTTCTTGGGTTTTAATTGGACCTGTGTAGCATTTAGTTCCTTGATTCAGATCCTAAAAACTTATGTTTCAGTATTATTTTCTGAAATGTTTGAAAGATGCCCAATCATTTTCTCTAAAAATAAAGTGTATTGGTAACTTTTGTCTTAAATATATTTGTTTAGAAATAATTGTCAAGCTGCTATTTTTTTTTTTTAATAATTCACTTTTTTTTTTCAGCCAGTTAAGTGTAAATGTGTATTTTCATTTAATATTAAAATCACACTGTCATCGCAGTGATTTCTGAATATTTGTCAAATGTCCTTTAATTAATTAAACATATCAATATTCCTGGGTGGTATATTATGGCAGTGTCCATCTCAGGTCATTGCACCTTATGAACAATTGCATAGCATGCTGGAATATATCTTTTGAATGGCTTTCACCACATAGAACGATCGATGCCAAAGAATTCTTCAGCTGCCTACAAGTAATTGATGAAATCAAGCCAAAGCATGCTGGGAAGTTGAATTATAAAAAATGAGCTGGATGCCAAACTCAAGAACTACCTCAAGACAAACAGCTCTGTGGCGGTTGTTGTGCATTGCACAAAGGTTCATTACATGAACTTATTTATTGTTCATTATTACAACAGCTTTTTTAAAGAAGGCCTAGGATTTTGCTTTAACAGTAGACTAAATAAATACCAATATTATTTGTTTAAGAAAGCTGTAACTGTAACATGTATCAATTGAATAGAAATTAAAGGTTGTGACATCCAAGTGCGAGTTTTGCAAAGTATATTACCAAGTCATAGGATATTCTCAGTGGCATATTGTTCGTCATAGGATATTCTCAGTGGCATATTGTTCAATTTTTATGCCTACTCCACACACACTTACATTATCATTATTTTACACTCAAAATGAAAAATATTCTGATCATACAGTTTAAATTTCTGTATTTAAATAGATCATTGACCTGAAAAGTGGAATTGTTAATTTCACATCAAAATCATGTTTTGTGTGCAAAGGGCTTTCACATTAACACCACTGCTTAGAAAATTAGGTGTAATTTCATTGTTATGATTAGTGAGGCAATTAGAACCTTTCATAATTGATAAAATACAAGCTCACACCTAACTATTGCCTTCTCCAGACGTAGCATGTTACTCATGACTCGGTTAACTTCTTTGACATTAACATAGAATGTCAGGTTAATTTGTAACATTCATTACTTGAAACATTATTCCAAACAGCGCCCAATACTTCACATACCCATGTGTGTTTCATATTCTTAATCCTATGCAGACCTCTATACCACTGGGTTAGTGTCAAGAGTAGTTTCAGCTGTCAAAAAGTGTCAAGCTCCAAAGAGTGGTTTGGTCAAGTGTTTGGGAGGGGGGGGGTTGTTTAAAATCAAAATACAAGTTGTGTCAGGAAATCCACTCTGCTGCTTATACAAGTTAACATAGAGAACTATACCAGTTATGGTTCATTGATTTTTTGAAAGATGTCTTCTTATTCCTTTGTGTATCAGTTTACTGAAAACACCCCAATTATTCATTGTTATTAAAATAAGAAACCAAACAAATGGGAAAAAAACCTCCCAAAACCTTAGTTTTTTTTTTTTTCCGAGGCTGTGGTCTCGAGCTTAAAAAACGTAGTTTAGCTACTACGGGGAGGCGAAAGCGTAGGGGTAAGCAAGTCTGTCTATGTGGCAGAATTGTATAATTAATTTAGCGAATTTAGATTTTTAAGAACACTTATGTGCTGTCAATGTTCTTGAGATACTTGACTGTTATTGATATATTCACTTGAACTCGGCCCCCTAAAATTTTTCAAAATAATTTTTTTTTTTTTTTTTAAAAGTTCAGTGTTGCTTAATCTTGCAGACTTATCATAAAATTAACATTTACATAACAAGAATAGAGATTTATCTTCCACTCCATGGATTTGACAAACTTGAACAAGAAGCAATGAACAGATAAGTATTTAGTAAATAGAATTTATTTCTTTTGGAAATAAGACTGCAACTGAAATATGTGTGAATGTGATGTAGATGTCTAAGGACTTGGGATTGCAATATACTAAAATATCATTAAGGGCTTGACAGATATAAAAAGATTATTCAGAAGCCATCATAGTTTTCCCCCAGGAACCAGTTATTTTGAATAGAAATAATTGCAAATCAATAGAGGTAGTAATGACATTTGAAATTTAAGTGCCATATAAACAAAACCACAAACAACGGCAATCTTGTAAAATTGTCTACCACTGCTGATATCTTTGTTCAAAGCTAACTTTCAGTTATATTAGTCCTTGATTTCCGGATTCAAACACCACCTAGATGTTTTTTTGTTGATGAGACCATGTATATAAATTAGTGAGCAACTTAAAGATTTGGTTGTGAGTGTCTAGATTCAGAACACCTCAAAGATTTGGTTCTGAGAGTGTCTGGATTCAGCTCTGAACAACTCAAAAGATTTGGTTCTGAGAGTGTCTGGATCATTTAGTTATGTTTGCCATTTTTTTTTTTTGGTATTTGAGCACCATCTCATCATTTATAAATGTTTTTATGAATAACTTATAAGGTTACAGCTTTATTACAAGTATTGTGTTAGCATTTAATAACCTCATGCATTCATTCATTCATAAATTCCTCCCACCATGTGTCTGAGCTCACATGTTTTTAGGATTAACTCTTTTTTTTTTGTACATGTACACACCAGAAATTCTGTACAGTTTGCAGATGTATATTTTTCTAGGAACTTGCGTGGCCACGTCTGAAAGTGATCATGTTTTGTGTCCTCAATGAACAATGTCACGAAACTTTACGATGAAAGAGTTAAACCGAACAAAAATTGCTTTTTTATTTATTGTGCTCTTGAATCAAAGGGGATTTTAAAAAAAACAATATAATCTATAAATATATACTGTATATTTGAAGTATACAATTTATCATATGTTTGTTGTAGGGATGTTTCTCGTTCTGTTTGTTGTGTCAACAACTTTGTGTAGAGATGACTATAAGTGTGCTACATCAGTATGTTACATGAGAGTTCATGTGAAGAGATGTCTATCAATGTGTTACGTGTGAGTTCATGTGAAGGAATGTCTGTCCATGTGTTACATGAGAGTTCATGAGTAGGATGTCTATCCATGTGTTACATGAGAGTTCATGAGTAGGATGTCTATCCATGTGTTACATAAGAGTTCATGAGTAGGATGTCTATCCATGTGTTACATAAGAGTTCATGAGTAGGATGTCTATCAATGTGTATTTTTAAAAACCTTGCTAACACCCATCAACCTCTCTACAACAACAACCCACACTGGTGTCAATTTTGACTTACATCAGTTACTGTGTCAGCTCATTTTTCTTAGATTGGTTTACCTTTGACCTGACTAATGAATCTAAAAGTGTTTAACAAGTCCAGGCCTGAGACTATTTCTAAGTGTTGGTGTTTTATAATTTCATCAGTTAAAGTTTTTTTTAAAATGTTGAATTTATTCCTCACCCCCATGATCCACTAAATTTATTTGAGACCTCCCTACGGAATATACATGGCATGGCTATTAAGATGCTACTGGCCAAATCACAGTGGTCTGTATAACTATAGTACTAGTACAAAAGATGCATTTTCTTATATGTTAGTGTCGTAAAGAGAACTAAAGTCTTTGGGGGGGGGGGGGAAGCATTTCATTTCGTTGGTGCTCTGGGCATGAGCTCCATATAAAAGCCCCAGGGAACACTAGGCCCCTTGAGTTGAAGTTTGTATTTATTGAAAAGAATGTGTACGTTCTGGGAATGTCTTTATCTTGGGGGGTACACCACGCCTGCTGTGATTGTAGAGCTGTCATGGCCTTGTCAAACGTCATGACTAGTTGAAAGAAAGTTTGGGGACTTCTTAATCCCCAAAATAAACGAAACACTTGATAGTGAACAGTCAGAGTTTTAGCTGTTGATTCTCTTTGTGGTTGTTCTTAAGTTCTTTTTGATTGAGCTGTTAACTTTAAGTTATAGGTCCGTCTTTGACTTTTAGGTCTGTCTTTGACTTTTAGGTCTGTCTTTGACTTTTAGGTCTGTCTTTGACTTTTAGGTCTGTCTTTGACCTTTAGGTCTGTCTTACTCTGTAACTTTTAGGTCTGTCTTTGACTTTTAGGTCGGCCTGACGTTGTGGTAGTACTTATGTATTTCTCGGTTGTCGTAAATTGTCAAGGAAATGGTAGGTTTTAGTAGACCTACTTCTGGTTTACAAGTGTAGGACTTCTCGATAGACACAGAGTATGACTGCCTGACGTTATAAGAGTATGACTGCTGGGGGGGGGGGGCGCTGCCTCACGTAATAGAATATCACCGCCTCACGTAATAAAGTATGACTGCCTCACGTTATAGAGTAAGACTGCCTCACGTTATAGAGTACGACTGCATTATTTACACCGTCTGTTTACAAGTGTAGGACTTCTCGATAGACACGGAGTATGACTGCCGGACGTTATAAGAGTAAGACTGCTGGGGGGGGGGGGGCGCTGCCTCACGTAATAGAATATCACCGCCTCACGTAATAAAGTATGACTGCCTCACGTTATAGAGTAAGACTGCCTCACGTTATAGAGTACGACTGCATTATTTACACCGTCGCCTTCGTCTTAACCTCTTTAGTAATCGTTTTCTAAGTTTCCATCATTTTGTTATTTTAAATTTATAGGATTGGAAGTACATGAACTTAGTAAATGTGTTATTTAACCGGTTTTTTTTTTCTTTAGTATTAAGCTAAATATGCGATATGTTGCCGAGGACCCACCAGTCAGTACTGGTGCCGAGGGCCCACCAGTCAGTACTGGTGCCGAGGGCCCACGAGTGAGTGTTGGTGCCGAGGGCCCACTAGTCAGTGTTGGTGCCGAGGGCCCACCAGTCAGTGTTGGTGCCGAGGGCCCACCAGTCAGTACTGGTGCCGAGGGCCCACCAGTGAGTGTTGGTGCCGAGGGCCCACCAACAAAGATAAAACCTTCATTTTGTGACACTAACGAAACATGAACGCTTTTTCCTCCAGCTCGATAACAGCAAAGCCTGGAGTGTTTCTTCTATTATGACCCTTCTCACACTGGTAGCGTGACTCAGGCAGGCTGGACTGTGAGTCAGGGCAGGCACTTAGAAGTTACTTGGGCCCGGGGGGGGGGGTAGTCTGCTGTAAATCTTTCACAATTTATCCACCTCTTATCAGGAATCCGGCACTGGGTACTGGTGTACCGTATTTATTTATTAAACACTGATTTTGCGTAGGGCATTAAGGTAAGCACAATTTAAATCTACACTATGCATACATTTCAGTAAGTTGAGTTTATTATGCAGTTATTTTTACAAAAAGTCGGCAAAGTTTTACTAATACAGGTAATTTAAAAAACAAAACGTCTTTCTTCGTGACAGTGATAGCGTTACTTTCTAAGTAAGTGATAGCGTCCTGAAACATAACAATAACAGGCCAGCAGTCACAACGTCTGCCACATAACGTGTTCTGTGTCCCATTCTGACCTGCCTGCCATTGCCATGTCCACCTGCCAACCCCCTGGATTTAAAGGTCGCGACGCTTTGGTGACTCTTCGTGTTGAACAATGGTTTTGTGTTGCACGGAAAACCCTACACGTTTGCCCGTTGTCGGGATACATAGTAGTGGATGTGTGTGACCCAGTCTGTTTGTTGGTTAATGTTTTGTCCTAGTTAATTTAACAATGATGGTGTATTATTGTTTTTTTTTTTTATATATGCCCCTGGTAATGTCAACCTAGGATAGTTATTCATGACGGTGGTAATTGTTCATTAAATTACCTTTGTCTTTTCAGTTGTACGTGAGACTGAATGGCTGGGATGACTCCATATTTTCAAATAAATTTAATGTTAGTTTTTGTTTTATTATTATTATTTTTTTTCTTCACAATTTATAAATAGCTGTACAATTTTTAAAAAGGACAATTTGCTTCATGATTCAATGTTATGTGAATAGATCAAATAAAAAATGTGAACCATATTTTCCCCAATCTTTTTTCCAACATTTATTTTATGTATAAATACTATTGGTTTTATGTTTGTAATGTTGCCTAGTCCTCGCTGTGCACACAGAATTACTGTATGAGCCATTTTAGACCAAATTGTAAAGCATTGACGGGTCATGGTTGGCACAGGAAAAGTAGCATTGACGGGTGATGGTTGGCACAGGAAAAGTAGCATTGACGGGTGATGGTTGGCACAGGAAAAGTAGCATTGACGGGCGATGGTTGGCACAGGAAAAGTAGCATTGACGGGTAATGGTTGGCACAGGAAAAGTAGCATTGACGGGTTATGGTTGGCACAGGAAAAGTAGCATTGACGGGTGATGGTTGGCACAGGAAAAGTAGCATTGACGGGTGATGGTTGGCACAGGAAAAGTAGCATTGACGGGTGATGGTTGGCACAGGAAAAGTAGCATTGACGGGTGATGGTTGGCACAGGAAAAGTAGCATTGACGGGTGATGGTTGGCACAGGAAAAGTAGCATTGACGGGTGATGGTTGGCACAGGAAAAGTAGCATTGACGGGTGATGGTTGGCACAGGAAAAGTAGCATTGACGGGTGATGGTTGGCACAGGAAAAGTAGCATTGACGGGTGATGGTTGGCACAGGAAAAGTAGCATTGACGGGTGATGGTTGGCACAGGAAAAGTAGCATTGACGGGTGATGGTTGGCACAGGAAAAGTAGCATTGACGGGTGATGGTTGGCACAGGAAAAGTAGCATTGACGGGTGATGGTTGGCACAGGAAAAGTAGCATTGACGGGTGATGGTTGGCACAGGAAAAGTAGCATTGACGGGTGATGGTTGGCACAGGAAAAGTAGCATTGACGGGTGATGGTTGGCACAGGAAAAGTAGCATTGACGGGTGATGGTTGGCACAGGAAAAGTAGCATTGACGGGTGATGGTTGGCACAGGAAAAGTAGCATTGACGGGTGATGGTTGGCACAGGAAAAGTAGCATTGACGGGTGATGGTTGGCACAGGAAAAGTAGCATTGACGGGTGATGGTTGGCACAGGAAAAGTAGCATTGACGGGTGATGGTTGGCACAGGAAAAGTAGCATTGACGGGTGATGGTTGGCACAGGAAAAGTAGCATTGACGGGTGATGGTTGGCACAGGAAAAGTAGCATTGACGGGTGATGGTTGGCACAGGAAAAGTAGCATTGACGGGTGATGGTTGGCACAGGAAAAGTAGCATTGACGGGTGATGGTTGGCACAGGAAAAGTAGCATTGACGGGTGATGGTTGGCACAGGAAAAGTAGCATTGACGGGTGATGGTTGGCACAGGAAAAGTAGCATTGACGGGTGATGGTTGGCACAGGAAAAGTAGCATTGACGGGTGATGGTTGGCACAGGAAAAGTAGCATTGACGGGTGATGGTTGGCACAGGAAAAGTAGCATTGACGGGTGATGGTTGGCACAGGAAAAGTAGCATTGACGGGTGATGGTTGGCACAGGAAAAGTAGCATTGACGGGTGATGGTTGGCACAGGAAAAGTAGCATTGACGGGTGATGGTTGGCACAGGAAAAGTAGCATTGACGGGTGATGGTTGGCACAGGAAAAGTAGCATTGACGGGTGATGGTTGGCACAGGAAAAGTAGCATTGACGGGTGATGGTTGGCACAGGAAAAGTAGCATGGACGGGTGATGGTTGGCACAGGAAAAGTAGCATTGACGGGCGATGGTTGGCACAGGAAAAGTAGCATTGACGGGTGATGGTTGGCACAGGAAAAGTAGCATTGACGGCCATGGTTGTCACAGGAAAAGTAGCATTGACGGGCGATGGTTGGCACAGGAAAAGTAGCATTGACGGGTGATGGTTGGCACAGGAAAAGTAGCATTGACGGGCGATGGTTGGCACAGGAAAAGTAGCATTGACAGTTAAATTACAGGGTCGCAGCGTTGGGAAAGTTGAGAACTACTGTGATAGCAGAATACAGTATAATATATGTAAGTAGGAGGGTAGGTGACATCAGGCCTATATTATTTCCTTGATGAATACATTATCACTGTGTTATGTCCAACAAAGTTTCAAGCTTGTCTCTAACAAACAGACAATAAGAACTGTATTTGTGGTAACAAATGGACATGACACTGGCTACCTCCTTACACACACACTGGCAACCATCTTACTCACACAATGGCAACCATCTTACACTGGCAACCATCTTACTCACACGCTGGCAACCACCTTACTCACACGCCTGCAACCATCTTACTCACACGCTGGCAACCATCTTACTCTCACACTGGCAACCATCTTATTTTCACACTGGCAACCATCTTACTCACACGCTGGCAACCATCTTACTCTCACACTGGCAACCATCTTACTCTCACACTGGCAACCATCTTACTCACACGCTGGCAACCATCTTACTCACACGCTGGCAACCATCTTACTCACACGCTGGCAACCATCTTACTCTCACGCTGGCAACCATCTTACTCTCACGCTGGCAACCATCTTACTCTCACACTTGCAACCATCTTACTCTCACGCTGGCAACCATCTTACTCTCACACTCGCACCCCTCTTACTCTCACACTCGCAACCATCTCACACTGACAACCATCTTACACTCACACT